CCCTCTCCACTCACACGTGCGACGCGGGGGGTGCTGGAGGGTCTCACGGTACTTTTTTACCGTTCGCCAGCAACGTGCAGTGTGGGAAACGTCCGGAGTTTAAACTCAGACGGCGGAGTGCACGGGTAGTAACAACTGCCCTACAAGGCTCATGCATGTACCCGCACCCCGGTGGGTGTTAGGGCGCTCTCTCAGAGCACTGCCTACAGAGCAGGTGAAAAGCTAGGAACGCTGGAACTGGGATTGCTACAAATCCGTAACCGGGTTATTCTGAAAGAATGAATCACTTTATGAATAAGTTATGATGTGAGAATGTAATTAAAGGACCCCTGCTCTTACCTGAGCACAGCCGACTACTCACTTTGCAAGTATTTAATTATTTTTTTTTGTCTCCTATGTCATATTTATGGAGCAGTATTAAAGACCAGTTGTAATAATTTACAGTCCATTTCCTCATAGGTTTTCTGAGGTATTCATCAGTATAGTACCTGCATGCACTTCTTCCTTTCAGGCTCCTGTGAGACTGTATTCTCATCCCTCTTTTTCAGATAGGTAGGTGGGCTGACACAAAAAAGCATCCACAAATGTTGGGTTCCCGTGGTGACACGTTAGAACCCCATTTTTCCTACAACGACTTAAAATTATGTGGAACTTCAACTACTCAAAGCCTGGCTCTCACCGAGTGTTGCAGTGCTTTGGCACTCCAACCCCGGGACTCAGCAGGCTGGGAGCATACCATTAGTAAACACAGATAGGCATTGTTTTAAAGTGATTAAACTAACCACATGCTGAACCTTAGTGACAGCTGTGAGGATAAAATCCAGCATTCCAGTGCAGCATTCCGCTGCCTTAATTAAGAAATTCTCTTTTTGTCTTCTTGCACCTTTTTGTACGTTCCTACACGGCTTGCAAATTCACCAAACCAAATCCTGCAAAGAGAAGGATCCTGAGGACAAGAGCCTCAGTTCATTGTTAGAACAGGTTCTGTGCAGAGAATGCAGCAGGGTCTGGGGGGGGAAGGCAAGCACACGATTAAAGACTGTACGGTAAGGTGCTTGCATAATGGGGCCAACTTAAGGTCCCACCAAGCTCACTGCCCCAATTCTACTTCCTGACCTCAGCATGCCCCTATGATTCCTTCTGCAGTTTGATCATCCTCTAGACTTCACCCTTTGGTATGACACAAACCTCAGCAAGACCATGAAGAGAAGGCAGGAAAGTGTTTCACTGCCTCCCCCAGCCTAGAGTGATCATTACAGAGAGCCTGGCTTCAGTCCGGCAGCTGAGTCAGGCATCACACTCACCCACTTGTAGGCAGTGAGGAAGGGAAACACAATTTACCTGTTTCTCAGTGCTTGGTCCACTGTATCAAAACAGGCAGATTTATCCTTTCAGGAAGTTTACATGTGACCACAGTTTGTGGAGATAGCACTTCAGGAGCCTGGGCAGCAAGCTGGGGTGGAAAAGACCATTCCTGATGGCTTATAAAAAAGAGGAAAACATCTAAGCAGAAGAAAAAGGTCTCTAGAATGCATACAGTTCAAAGGCTTCCACTGCCAGCCAGATCTTGGAGCTGCATCTGAAAGTCTGCTTATTCCCTAGTTTCCAGTTCTGAACTATTGGAACACTACGACTGTACAAAGAAGTATCACTAGGAAAGCTTACACATATTTAACATCAAAAATGTTTCTGTAGGCTCAGTCTTTGAAAGAACGGCTAACAAATTCTCTTAAACCCCACAAAACATCATAGACTGCATAGATGCTAAAGCTGTGATGATGGGCTGTTTGGTGGAATCGGTTGGATGGTGGCATCCAGAGGGTAGTGGTCAATGGCTCAAAGTCCAGATGGAGACTGGTCACAAGTGGTGTCCCTCAGGGATCCATACTGGGACCAGTACCATTCAATAACTCCATCAGTGACATGGACAGTGGGATCCAGCATACCCTCAGCAAGTTTGCAGACAACACCAAGCTGAGTGATGCGGGTGGCATGTCTGAGGGATGGGATGCCATCCAGAGGGACCTGGACAAGCTTGAGAAGGGGGCCTGTGTGAACCGCAGGAGTTTCAACAAGACCAAAGGCAGAGTCCTGCACCTGGGTCAGGGCAAGCCCTGGTGTCAACAGGGTCTGGGGGAATTAAGGGGTTGAGAGCAACCCCCAAGGACTTGGTGATGAAAAACTAGATATGACCTGGCAAAATGTGCTGCAGCCCAGAAAGCCAGCTGTATCCTGGGCTGTATCCAGAGCAGTGTGGCCAGCAGGGCGACGGAGGGGGTTCATCCCCTCTACTCTGCTCTCGTGAGACCCCCCCGCTGCAGTTCTGCATCCAGCTGTGGAGCCCTCAACATCAGACGGACACAGACCTGTTGGAGCAAGCCCGGAGGAGGCCACAAAGATGCTCCAAGGGCTGGAGCACCTCTGCCATGGGGACAGGCTGTGAGGGTTGGGGTTGTTCAGCCTGGAGAAGAGAAGGCTCCAGGGAGACCTTACAGCACCTTCCAGCACTTAAAGGGAGCTTATAAAAAATTTGGGGACAAGCTTTCTAACAGGCTCTGCTGCGACAGGACCAGGGCTAACGGTTTTAAACTGAAAGAGAGTAGATTGAGACTATATATAAGGATTGAAGTAATTTCTTTTAAGTTCTTTTTCCTCTCCCAAACACCTGTCCTTAAAGTTTTCTTTCAAGAATGTAAATAGTTGAAACTTTAACAAAGTTCCAAATTTCATTATGCAATAAACACTGGGAAAATATATTACAAGAATATTAAAAGCCATAACAAGACTAAACATAGAGAGACAACACTACTCTTTCAGGAATGCTTAATCGAGCCTATAGGAATACTCTTGTCCACAAAGATAGATGCAAAGTCTTCATAAAACCAGACAAAATCACAAAGAAGATTTTAAAAACATACCTTAATCACAAAACATTTGGAAATATGCAGAATGTCACTTCACTGACTATTTCACAGGAGTTCTGATAAAGTACTTGGGAAATGTTCTTACGTTGCTAATACACTAATGCTGCCATCATCACCCTGATAGCCTATTGTTTCCAGAGTTCTATGCATTCTAGGGTGGTCTTTCATCACCTTTACTAAACTCAGGTAACAAAGCTCTTTGGACAGAGACTTTTCCTTTGGTCGAGTATCTACAGTAGAACACAGTCTTGCTCTATACCTGGATGTCCAGATACTGCAACACAACTGAAGTGCAAGGATAAAAAGTCCATGTCCTTAAGCTACATGGCACATTTTCAAGATTTATACTTGAGCGCCTCAGGGAGCAGGCAGTTCACCACTTCAGCTTTACATGGATGTAAATGAATTGACTGGGATTTGCCCAAAGTCAGCAAACAATTCTCTGATGAAACCAGGAATATGACTTGAAATTCTGTTTCTCTCTTCTCATCTTGTTCCCTTCCCCAGCTGCCAGGAACTGAGACACAGTGTAAAAATTCTTCACTTTCTTCACGCAGAGCAAACCCAGCTTTGCCATTAACCACTAACATGTCCCTTCAGACATTACTGACTAGCTACAAGAATCTAGCCAAATCTTACTAGCATTTAAGAGTGTAAGCCACTGTCCTTTGTAAAGCTGCAGCCTTATTACAGCTGTTTCTTGAGCTGGGAATTTCCTGAACCCGTACGGACAGTGAAGGTAACACTTTCAGTGCTGCTGTAAAACAGGACCCTGGTTATACTCAAATGGACCTTCTGCTACCAGAGCTGAAACACACATTCAGAGCTGCAATGGATGGGGGATGAGCGTGTGTCAGTTCCACAGCCTGACTGTTACTCTGACGCCTAGATCGACGGGCGCCAACGGGTCCACCCAGTACACCT